TCTTATTTATAAAACTAAATGTATGATATATTTGTTTTTTTTTTGTTATAATATCAAACGAATTGATTATACACAATTTATGGTTAACAACTACGAATGATCGAATAAAATTATTCAAAAAGCCCATGCACTATTGTTTTTTTTTCACTCAACAATGGTGATTCTTATAGAAACATTGTCAAATCATCATACTTCGTTTTATTAATCAAAACTGGCAAAGCTATTGAACAATTCGAAGAAAGTCATTATATCTAATTGTCTCTCAGGTCAAAAAATATAGACCGTTTCCTAGCTCGAAAACTGGAGAAAATGACAGGAGCTTGAAAACAGAAATCCGGTAGGCAAAACTTTCTAATTTGGAGTAGAGAGCCCACCAGCGAATCCAATCATCAAATTTTTGCTTTCAAGTTTCTAAGTTTTATGACGGGCATCTGCCGAATATTCACAGATCTGGACGCCAGAATTACTGACTGCCATCTCTCGAAATTTTAAAAGTAGTCGTCTGATTGATCTTTCTTCTTTTCAATAGAAACCCGCTAATTTAAAATTTTCTCTAAAACAAACTGTACAAATATAGATATTTTTCGACCTGTACGTGGTTTACTATATAATATATCGATAAATTTTGAAAACATACGATATAGAGGCAATAGCAAATAGCTGCTTGTATCTTCATCAATAAGATACTTTTGACATCATGAACTTATGAAGTTTTGAATTACTTGACTATTCGTTTCAAAAATTTTCTTTCAAAAAACATTATATCTTACTGTGTACTATCACAACCAAATTTAACAAGTATTGAAGCAATATCTTCTTGACCGGAATCTAATGCATTCCATAAAACACTATTACCATTTTCATCAACAACATTCATATTTGCACCATTACGACAAAGTGCTTCAACTACAGATGGTAAATGATGTTTAACAGCAAGTTGTATTGGAGATAGACCATGTGTTTTTTCATTAACATCAACACCTTGTTCAAGTAAAAATAAAGCTGCTTGAACATTTTGTTTACTAATAGCTTGTGCTAATAATGGTGTTTGTTCACAATCTTTTATTTCTAATTGTGCATGACGAATTTGTAATAATTGTTTAGCTATTGTTAACATATTCATCCATAATGTTAATGAAAAAATACTTTGACCATGTTCATCTTGAATATTAAAATTTGGTTTTAAATTTTCATCAGTAATTTTTTCACGAAATTGTATATAAATATCAAGTATACGTTCTTGTGAAGCATAAACAGCACGATGAATTGGTGTTTGTAGACCAATATTAGAATTTTGTTCAATATCAGATGATAATATTTGATGAGTTTGAATATTTGGATTAGCACCATTTTCAAGTAAAGCTCTTGTAAATTGTTCTAAACCTAATTGTGATGTTAAATGTAATACTGTTTCACCTTGTTTATTAACATGATTAATTTTGGCACCTTTTTTTATTAAATAAAGACCAGCTTGTTGATAATGATGACGAGCACATTTATGTAATAAAGATTCACTTAATGTTGATATTGGATCAATAGCATCAACACTAGCACCACGATCAACAAGTAAACTTGCAAATGTTTCTTGATCAAAACTAATATCTGTATATGTTCAAAAAAAAAAAGAAAAGATATTTAGGTTTTTTATGGGATTCCGGATCTTCGCCAATAAAACTTTCGCCAAATAGCACTTTCGCCAATGGCGAAACTCCACTATACTTTCGCCAATAGACACACTGGAATATCGCCAATTGGCGAATGTCCACTGTACTTTCGCCAACACACTTTATGGAGTTTCGCCAGTTGGCGAAAGTATAGGAGACTTTGGTCAATTTAAGTGCTAATTAGACGTGAATTAGAAAATGTGCATCGACTATATTAATAAGTTACGTTTGTGTATGTTGTAGTCATATATTTTTTATAGCATTTTAGATAATAATTATGCCGCCCCTTGTTAGCGTGAAATACAAGATCATTAGCTAATACAATCAAGTCTCTTTCTCATCTTGTTGGTGAACCTGTTTTGTCGTGGACGAAAGGGAAAGAAAAAAATTAATGTTTCGAAATCAGACTTATCAGGTGCATCATCAGATGAACATTAGGTTATGCTTTATTTGCCGTTTTCTTCATATTAATCTCGCTTTTTTCTTATTAAAAACATGACTCCCTCATGTATGAATATACTCTAAGCGTAAGCTATAGTATATATTCTAACAGTATTAGCTTTAGCCCTTACATGTATCCTGTATTAATATTATTTTGTGACGGCTGACAAAACTCCACTATACTTTCGTCAATTGGCGAACGTCCGCTGTACTTTCGCCAATACATATCTTGGAATTTCGTCAATTGGCGAAAGTTCACCGTACCTTCGCCAACACATCCCTGTACTTTCACTATTGGCGAATGTCCTATTGGCGAAAGTCCGAATTGGCGATCTTCCGGTAACCCTTTTTTATGTTCTATATATATATATATATATATTTATCATTTGGATATTATTTGAATTGAATCCTTTTCTTTTTAGAAAAATATTTAGTCAGTAATTTAAATAATTGTAAAATCAGCAAAATGACTTAGAGGATTTAGTTACTAATGAATTAGATGTATTAACAAATTAAAAGATAAGTAAATAAGATTGACTAATAGTCAATAAAATCAAAGGTTAAGACAGGAAATTAAAATTTGTTTTAGTGTGATTCACCTTTTTTTTTTCTTCTTTTCTTTGTTGTCTTGTATCACGTAGCATAGATGCTATGAATAGCATACAAGTAGGCAACACTTTGCTTCTACTCTTTACTCCTACTTAGAGTTTATGAGTATAAAAAAAATGAACGTGATACAAGTTACACAATATGAAAGTAATCAAACGAAAGATTTCGTTAGAAAAAAAAACATATATCAAAGTGTGGGTTAACGAGGTTATATGTGAGAATCAGTGGCGTAGCCAGGAATTTTTGAGTCATGGGCAATTCATTAGCCGAACTATTTTGAGTTATGGGCAGCTAAGGGCAACCGTTATGATGTCAAAAATATCTATGGGCAATAACTTTTGGAGCTATGGGCAATTGCCCAATGGTCCTACCCCTGGCTACGCCACTGGTGAGAATATTAATGGAGCACGACCATTAATTGAAAATAGCTGATCAGAGCATTATATGAACTGTACAGAATATGAAAGAGCACAATGAACAAAGTTATTGTTTATAAAAACTGAAGCTGAGTATGATGATTCTAAAGGCGTATATGTGTGAATGAAATGAAAATTCATTTGAATCCACATCCATATGCTTTGGAATTAAATATTAATAATTTAATTACTGATCATTTCTTCTATTCTACTGACTACTTAAATTGCAGCGTTTTTTTTTGAAAAATGAACTATTGGAAAAGAATTATGAAATTTTAATAAACATTTTGATTAATTAAGAGGATTATATTGTACTTTTCCAAGGCCATATGTGTTAAATGATCTCAATCAAATTATTGAATATTATCAAAAATAACTTAGTCAAAACCAATTCTTGATTAATTGAACAAAAAAAAATCATATGATTTTGATTATATGAAATATGAAGCTAGGCTAGTAAAAGAATGTATTTGTATTTAAGATTTTTTACTGAAAAGGTATGTTCTTCGTATATCGTAAAGTCAACGAAACATTTAAGTAATCAGTTTCTTTGTTTTTTTTTATCACAATGCTTTCGTTATCAGACTAATGCGTCATTTCTTTTGTTACTAACAAACAACCAATATAATATATTCTTGCTATATTTTTCAAGTACTATAAACTAGAATAAATTAAAAAAAAAATTTATCAATCACTATTAGTGATTTGTTTTGAAAAATCGACTTGATTTACATATTTATCTCTAAATATTTGAAATAACTTACGCAATTGTTCAGCTTGTTGAAGAGCAAGCCAAAGTGGTACATGATCATCTTTATTTCTATCATCTAATGATAATTTTGATGCTTTTAATAATTCTCGAAAAACATGAATATTATCAGAAAGTATTGCTCTATGAAGACAATTATTGCCTCTAGCATCTTGTTTTTTTGTATCAACACCATGTTCAAGCATAAGTTGTGCTACACGACACATTCCAGCCATAATATCTGTTAATAATTCAGCTGGATTAAGACCACTTAATAAATGTAATGGTGTTTCACGTCCAACATTTGTTTGATGATTAAGTAAACATTCATGTTTTATAAGAAATGTTGCAGAATGTTCATCACCTAAAAAGCAAAAACAACAAAAAAAACATTTTTCTCATTTTTTTTCTTTTTTATTTATATTAATATATATTTCTTACCTCGTTTAATAGCTAAATGAAGTAATGTTCGATTTTCAGCATCAATATGATTAATATCTGCTTTATGACGAACAAGATTTTCTGCCATACTATCTTGTTTTGTTTTTAATGCTAATTCAAGAGCTAATTCACCATGATCATCAAGTTCATTAACACGCTCAGCTAACTAGAAGACAAAAAAAAAAACGTTTTTTTTTGTTTTTTAAATATCATGGTTTTTATTGTCTTTCTTACATCTGCATCATTATCAATTAAATAAAGAAAAAGTACATCTTCACGTTTCATGCGTACAGCTTGATGAAGTGGATATTTAGTTTTTTGTTTAAATAATTTATATGCCATTGGTGCAGGTAAATGTTGAAAATCTTCACTTGTAAAATCATTCTAATATAAAAATAAAAAATGCTTTTTTTGAAATAATGAATATCTTAAAATAACAAACCCAATGTGCACTAATTAACTGACTACAATGAGTTTGTAAAACTTGTGCACCAATTTCTTCTGCTACTTTATAAAATTTTAAACAATTTCGAACTGTTATTGCTGATATTAATGCAACTTCACATCTATATGAAATTTATAAAAAAAGTTTTTCTTATATAAAAGAAAATTATTTTCTACAAACTGATCAATTAATTCTTTTAATTCAAAACGTTTAGCTGTTTTCATTAAATTTAATAAAAAATCTTCATTCTGTTTTTCAGATATTTCATCTGTATAAATCCATTTAATCAATTGAAATCCCACATCATATGGAATATCTAGAAGAATAAATAATTAATATAATAAGAAAATTTATTGTATATATGAAAAAAAAAAATAATCTTACCAGATAAATCAAGTTCAGATGCATCACCTAATTGTTGTGGATCCCATTTAAGACTACGTGCAGCTAAAATAAATCGATGACCACATAAAGTTTCACCATCAAGTTTAATTGTAATATCACTAAAAATAAAAAAAATTATTTTCTTTTTGTTTTTCTTCTTCTTTCAAAACCTATAAAGTTCACGATTAAATAATTCTGCAACAGTTTTAAGTAAACGATAAACAAATGAATTTTGATCAAGTTTTGTTGTTGAATTAAGAACATTATAATTTCGTTCTAAAGCTTTATAACGTTGTTGAAGTTTAACATATTCTTCACGAAGTAGAACAAGATGTTGTTGTAATTTACTGATTTCATTTTGATTATCAATATTACTCATCTTGTATAATAAATAAAAGTAAAAAAAAAAAATCTAAACTAAAATAGAAGATGAAACTCCAAATTGAAAATTATCTTAAAATAATCGAAAGAAGAACAAACACGTTTTTTCTTTCTTATTCCGTAATATACATTTTGGATATTTTATAATTATCTTGTGGTGAACATTTAAAACCAAAGAAAATTTAGTCTTTTGTTTTATTCGAATATTGGCGACATCTAAGTTTAGTACTCGAAGATTCGAAAGATAATATAGTTTGTTTTAGATTTCATTCTTTGATATCATAGAAAGTAGGTAAAAGAAATCTAATGTACACAGACGGAGACAAAAAAAAGAAGCTAATCGATTAGATGAAACTTCGATTACTTTTGGAAATTCATTTTAATACTAATGATGATTGTTTCTTTTTTTCTGAATTACTAAGTAGTGTTAATAAATTAGACAATCGTTAATTTTTTTTCCAAGAATTTGATCCTATTAGTTGATGTATGTGATAATAATGCAAAAATTTTGAATTCTTGCATTTGATTAGATTTTTTTTTCTATATTGTAAAGATCGATTGTAAATGGATAAATTGTATTTAAGATTCGAAAATGAGTTAAAAAAAGGACTTTCATATATTCAAAAAAGAAGAATCATATTTCATTTCGCGTACTTGATGACAATTTATGTCAATGTCAAATGTTGGCTGAAAGGGCTGAAATCGTACTCGACCTTCTTGTGTGTATTAGTTTGAGTTTTTTCGTGATGCATTTATTCTTTTCAGTCTAGGTTAAATATGGAAAGAAGTGAGTTCGATTTTCATGAATTTCTTTTCTCTAAAAGTGATTGGTGGTTGAGTATTACTTACTCTCACCGTATCTTCATTACGCTAAAGCATGGTATAAGAAGGACTTGTTCGGTAAAAAAACACCTGAGGGAACCCTTGCCCATATTTTTTTGTGGTTAGCAAATGTCTTGTATCAGATAGCTTATGAAATAAAACGACGATTTAATAGACATCGACTATTTGAAATAAATCTAAAACTGATCGATTACATTTTTGTGTTGAGTGTTAGTTGTCGAAATTACATAAATATCATATTGCTGTCTAAATAATTTCAATAGAATATAATTTTTATGATTTTCTTCTCATATATTTTTATCTCTGAACGTTATCCGCCAATTAATGAAATATTCATTGACTAGTTTCTAATTGCTATTGACCATAAATTTAAAAATCATTATTTTCTTTTAGACAATATTCTCTTTTTATAAATCATTTAAAAAACAAAAGTTTTCTTTTGACAATTTTTATTTTATTTAATACCGAAAGTAAGTAAATGGATAATAGGTATTAACACCTGGAACGTAACGTGTTCCAGCAGGATAAGCAAGGGTTGGTGCAGACATATACATATTTGGTTGTGGATAAAATAATTGTTGACCTGTATAATAGGTAGGTTGTTGCAATGCATATCCATTGGAAGATATAGTAGACGTTGGGACTGGAGTTGATGTAGTAATAGCCGGTGCTGGCGATGGTGTTGATGCTGGTACTTCAGCAGTTGATGTACGAATTTCAAATGTACGAACTCGATCTTGTCCCGGTGAGTTTAAATTATCGTCTGGTGTATTTCGACCACGTCGATCAATAATAATTATACGTTCTTTCATTGGTAATGATGTTGATTGCGTTGAACTTGATTGTTGTTTATCAACAACTTTAAATAAATCTTGTAATGTTTCTGTACCTATTTCTGTACCTGGTGTTGTATATATTTTTCGTGTTGTTACCATTTGTTTGTTATTATTATTATCATCATCATCATCACCATTAGATTTTAATATTGATCTTTGTGTATTAAAACGATTATTAGGAGCTTTATTTATGTATGGATCTGTATATGATGAGGCAGAATTATCATTAATGACACGAACTCGAATTTTTTCTGCACCACTATCTGTTGAATAATTTAATACATCACTACTTGCTGAACGAGATAATCCATGTGAATGTATATCTTCACCTGTTGATGAACGACGTATTCTTGGAGTAGTATTATTTGGTGAATGTTCGTTTGTTGGTTGTGTTAATTTCGAAGCTTGTTGTTGATAATGAGCAGCATGTGAACGAGGCATTGTTGCGTATGGATTCATATATGACCAACCACCAGGTGGTGGTTGACGAGAATTAGGTATAACATTAGCAGATTGTTCTGTTTCTTTACTTAATTGTTGTTGATATTGACCTTGTGGATAGTTTCCATATGAAGGAGGTTGGGGATTTGTTGTTGGCTTTGATGGAAATGGTGCAGTTGGTGCCGTTGATGTTGAAGGTTCAGCTCTTCGAGAAGTTGGAGGTGTAGATTGACTTTGTTTAATAAAAGTTGAATAAGCTTCTTTGTAACGTTTGTCATAGAGATGATTGATTGGTTTAGGATAAGGTGCAGATGGATTGTGAGAAACATTAAAAATCGGAAATTCATGTGGTGATGGATCAGGACCCTATTTTTGAATAAATGTTCAATATACGATAATGTATAAAATATTTCTATACAATAACTCTCAAAATTATTTGACAAGGTTTATATTTAAGTCTTTTTTCACATAGCTGTAAACGTTAATAAACATAAATTCAAATAGTGATCTATATAGAATGTGTGATCTTAATTCCACTTATACTTTATTTGTATAAGTGTATCTGTATCAAAATTCCACGTAAGAATCTAATGTTATACATATAAGGTTATAAGAAGGACTAGAAAATCCACATAACGACATGAAAGAAAGAAGAACAAAATAACAAGAAAATTCCAACATGTATGATAAGTAGAGAAAAGTCCTTGACGCATGACTAACAATGAGAGACAAAAGAGGAAGGACATAAATGCATATATATAGTCCTATAGGTGAAGAGAAAGAAATCCTTATGACTGCATCTAAAGAATATGTAGGTCATAACATAGAGAATTTTATTCTAGACATAGATATTCGAGGATGAAAATGATTGATAGTTTTCCAAGGATAAGAATATCTGAAGAACCAAAAACACAAGTTTTTTAGTTCTTGGAATTCTGTTTGAATTACCCAGAATAAAAGGGCAAATAATTCCCTACATAATGAAACACATTTCAGTTCTCTACAGAACTCTTTGTCCTCAATATCTCAGGCTTACAGAAGGCACAAAAATCGGTTTTTTTTCTGCTATTTCTTATGAAATCATAATTTTTGTATCCTTCTGTATAGTGGGTCTATCTTGGTCAAAATATATTGTACCAAGCTGCAAAGATGTTTCACTTTGTAGAATATTGTTTGTTCTATCACTTCATACAATTCAAATAGAATTTCAAGAACTAAAAAATTGGTGTCTTAGTTTTCTACAGATTCTTATCCATGGAAAACTATCAATTATTCTCATATTTGAAAATTCGTGTCAACAATAAAATTCTTTACACAAATACTATTAGTTGTATTCTGGTTAATGTTTACAGTAATGATTTTGAGAGTCATTCGATCTGTATAGTATCATACCTGATTACGCATTTCATATTTCATTCGTGCAACAAGTCCTTCTAATTTTGCTGCTAAAATCTCCGAATCAACTTTTTCACCTGAATGTTGAAGTTCTTCAGAAATCATTTGTGCTTCATCACTTAAAACTTGTGTTAAACGAGCAATTGTTTCCGTATCCAAACCAGCTAATTTCCGAGCAACAAGATCAACCGCTTTTGAGATCATGAAATTGTACTTAGGCATTGTACCTTTATGTGTTAGTTATATGAAAAGAAAAAAGACACAAATAAAAAAAAAAGTATATTGAAAATAGAAAAACGACATAGATACATATACGTATTAATGATAGCGACTAACCAATGTGATCTGACTAAATCAATGTGTTCTCTCCTCCTACCTTCACTACTAATATTGCATTTTTTTTTCTTTCGCTGATTATTACATAAAAAAATGTTCGTATTCGTCCAAAAAAGAATACATAAATATTTTGTTTATTCATATTAGACTAACGTGCACATATTCTTACTAATAGAAAAACGAAATATCCTTAATGTATGCGTCATACTAATAATTAATGAGTGTTCGATTAGGTTGATAATGTTTTTTTTTTTTTTTTTCTTTTTTCGATCGATTTGATACAGATGATTATAGTTTCGAAATAAACATGCTCGTTAATGAGACATAGTCAATTTTTTAACTTTCTTCTTATTTTTTTACGAATATAGGAAAGTTTGAATTAGAAAGGAAATAGAAATTCATATGATTCAACATCAACTAGTAATGACATCTGTCTGTTCTATAATATAAATTCTTTTTTGTACTATGGACACTATCGTTTAGAGGAACATAACTTCATACGATTGGATTGAGTTAATTGAGCCAAAACTTAATGATCTTTTTCTTTCATTTTAAGTATAGAATACTATCCGATCTTCATCTTCAAAATTGACAAGTTTTTCTTTATTTATATCGTTACAAAGATCTTCTAAATCTTAATAAAGTATTTATATAAATACAAATTAATTTTCTATATTCATTTGTTTAGATATTACTTATTCCAATTAGAATCTTTATAATGGACGTATTTATGATGATTCGTCGACAAAAACTTACACTCTTTATTGATGCTAAAGAATCATCAACAGTTCTTGAATTAAAAAAAATGATTGAAGGTATAACAAAAGTACCAGCAAATAATATACGTTTAATAGTTGATTCAACAAAACAACCAATGGATGATGATAATCAAACGCTTGCCGATTGTGGATTATCAGGAACTGTAGCTAAGGCCTATTCTCCTACTCTTCTTTATTTATGTTATCGTAAGACTGGTAATGAACATGAATGGGAACCAATTGATGTTGCTGAATTGTAAGCTTTTCTTTTTTTTTTGAATTTTATTAATTGAAATAATTTGACAATGATCATAAAAATCTTTATTTATATTAAAGAATTTGAATAGCAATCAGAATATTCATAAAATAATTGATGAATTTCTAGTATT